TATGAATTAAATTAATATGAATTGCTTCGTTAGTACTTGTCAAACCTGTTGGTCAGTGGATGGCGTGATCTGTTAGCCGACAATGGCTAAAGTAGCAGTAAAAAAAAACAAAAACCAGTATTATCAGAAAAAAAAACTCCAAAATCAGGGTAAAAACTTTTCAAAGAGTCCAAAAATTAAACAGTGGTTAATTGGAAACATTTGATCGGGTCCGTCGAATTCAAATTAGTCCGTTTTCCATCCGACGATAATCGTTATTCCTTATTCAAAGGTTGAGTATTCGTCATGTTATGGGCTGGCTTTAACTTGTGTTACCTTGGATCGATATAAAAAAATTTACAATATAATAATGAAAGAAGTCTATTGAGAGCAGTTTAAAGTCATATCAACTGGTTTTGGTGGATTATAACTATACTGTAGAAGAAGTAATTAAGAGCAGGATGGTGATCAAAGACATACGTCCAAAATCGCGAAAGAATATGTTGGTGAGGGAAATTTTCAATTAACGCAGTGCCCAGCACAAAGTCCAGACTTCAATTCGAAGAATAATTTGTGGTCAATCGTAAATTTATAGGAGGTCAGTACCTATCAGCCCCTAATAATTTAGACGAACTGTAGCAACGTATCTGATGTGATTGGACGAATATTTCAAATTCAATTGTATTAGTTGAAAGTATGTCAAAGTGTATAAATGACATCTCAAAAATATTAAAACTTCGGCATATGTACTAAAAGTTCAGAATAAAATTCTATTTCGATTTACCCAGTCCGTATGTTCATATTAAATGCAAATGTTAAGAAATTAACTATAAATCAAATTATCTGCAAATACGTTTTTAGAACTTTTTTACATTATTCGAATTTTTTGGGGAAAATAATGCCCGATTTGGCAACACTATGCTTAATAAATCCAATCTTTTACTTTTTTTGTGGAATCTATTTGTTTCAAAATATGGTATATCTGGCTCTCCTTAGGTTTTGAGGGTTTTGAAAATTGTCTATGATATATCTTCAACCGAAACCATTGAAGCCTTTTGACCTTTGAGAATTGTAAGGTTCTCTGAGTAAAATCAGTTGTATAGTTCAATTGAATTCAAGTCAAATGCTTGAACATTCCCTGTAGGATTTTCATCTACTAGTTTACAAAATGTTTAGTTATAAAGAAATTATTAATCAACTGATTATAAATTAGCTAGAAAGTAATCTAAGACTCAACCACATTGAAACCAAAGATATGTTCATGTCATCAAAAATATAACACACGCAAAACAAGAAACCATTTAGAATTGCATTCCGCACAACAACACAGAATGCAAAGATGAAGAAGAATCGTTCTTTTTGAAAGTTTGGAGAGAGAGGACGTGTAAATCGTAATTAATTGTTATTGTGCTCTTTAAGTGTGAAATTAAAAATAAATGAGTAAGGGTTTTAATAATATAATTGAAACACTACCTAGCAAGTCACATCTTAGAAAATTATGTAAAAAGCAAAGAGAAGAATATATAAATATAGAACCACATCATACCAACATCAACAATAATACATATATTTTTTTTTAATTTGTGGCGCATATAAAGAAAATTTGTAAAATTTCTAACATAAGTCATCCAATAAAAAAATGGAGTCCACGCCAAAATCAGTGAAACGTCTCAGCATGAATTTAAGTAAGTAATTTATTATGTAAATTAAAACCAAATATTCTAATTCGAATTTTAATTTCACTGTATTTCAGATTTTCATCAGCCTACCTCACAGAAAAATATGGCTTTACCGAACTGCCCTTCTTGCAGAAACCTCTTGGCGACGGTGGAATCCAAAATTACTGAATTAAATAGTAAGTATAGAAAATAATAAAACTAAATAGGTATTTTTAAACTCTTTACCGTTTCAGATAGCATAAATGCGTTAAAGAGTGCGATGCAACATCAGAACGAAAAAATCATGACAGTATTAGCTAAACAAAAATCGTGACCGAAAAGTTAAATAGGCAAGATGTGGAGAACAAAAATGTAAGGAAATATTTCCCCGTCAAATCGGTTGAGGATTTATCTGCCCTCAATAACGTTATAGATGAAGACAATCGACTAACATATATAAGTATTTATTTCACCTTTTTAAACGTTGTTATTTTTTATTAATTTTTAATTTTTTCACAGGTAAATTCAATGAAGAGGTTACTTAAATGCATATTACAAAAGACGCTGCTGGAAATATTTGCAATAGAAATAATAATTGATTTTAACGTAAGATTTCCAAAATGTTTTCGAGTGCCTTATGAACGCCCTGCGATCACTTCAAGTGGATCCATAGAAAGAGTTCCGAAAAGCATTGCATATTATTAAAAAACGTCACATCCACAACATATGCATACAAAAAAAAAAAAAAAAAAAAACAACTATAAGTCAGTCATTTATATTAATTTTCTGTGATAAATTATTTATTAGACATATTTTATGTATTTCCACCTATGTATATAATTTTCCAACTATTTATAATAATATATATTGAATTTAAACTGAAATTGTATATTGTCTATCGTTATTTCATAGATTCAAACATTGCTGTATAGGTATAATTACAAAATAGCCAACTTTTGTTTGATAGGAAATATTTATTTTCAAAATATTTCGTATCAAATTGGATAAATTCCATCAAAATTCAGTATCAATATTGTTATAAATTATAAACTTAACAGGCTACTCATTTTCTATCAGAACATAAACTATCAAAATAAAAAACGAATCGGTGCTACTATTTCACCGATTTTTTTTTTTTATATTTCGGTTAGCAGATAACACCCAGCAATGATTAACAATTAGTGGTTTTTTGATCAAAGGCAAATATGCCGAACGGACAGCGTTCCATAAACCAAAAAAACAGTACAAGGTGGAAATGGCAATGGCGGTTAAAATAAAAAAAACGCTCAAAAGAAAATCGACAGAAAATTTAAGAGGGCCATATATCAGTTTGATTGCGCGGTGCAGGTTTTTCGCTTTGACTCTGTTACATCGATAGATAAACTATTAAGCAAAAAAAAAAAAAATCATAGCAATATTCTGATAGCATTACAAATGGTCATAGGTTTACAACAAAAAACAAGTGACAAAATTAACTTGTTGTAGTTAGGGTAGGCGGTATGGGGGGAATCTCAGAGGGAACATATTTACAAGAATGTGGGGAAAATGTCTAAACACTTTAAATCAATTATATACCTAGTTTCGACTTTGAATGAAAACTTTTTGAACTTTAGCAAATTGTTTAATTATGATTCTCAATCTAGGACCCAATATGAAATGGAACCAATGTATGACCTCCAAATACTCTACACTGGCATCCCTATTTCCTGGGTTTGCGTATATGAACGTTTGTTCATTTGGAGGGCGTTATCAAAACTAATTCCTCACAATATTTCGTAGAACGAATACGAGCAACGCCATTGCCCACCAAACACCCAGCCCCACAATTGGAGCCGAATGATTGAGAGTCCGTCATTATCTAAGTCAATATAGCGCTATTGCTATCTGACTATCATTGGTAATGGTCGAAAATTTGGTTTTCCTCTCACCGTACACAACTCTCTTCCGCTCTCGAGCAATGAGTACATGATTGTGATTTGAGAAATATACAGTTAACTAATTACCGATCATTTCGAAAAATATATTGGAATTCAATATTCAATTAGTGATAACAAATGTATTAACCCATTCAAGGCCTGGAATAGGCGTGGATTTTTAAAGAATATTTTTTCAAGGCATACCAAAGGCCTGGAATAGGCGTGGATTTTTAAAGAATATTTTTTCAAGGCATACCAAAGGCCTGGAATAGGCGTGGATTTTTAAAGAATATTTTTTCAAGGCATACCAAAGGCCTGGAATAGGCGTGGATTTTTAAAGAATATTTTTTCAAGGCATACCAATGGCCTGGAATAGGCGTGGATTTTTAAAGAATATTTTTCAAGGCATACCAATGGCCTGGAATAGTCGTGGATTTTTAAAGAATATTTTTTCAAGGCATACCAAAGGCCTGGAATAGGCGTGGATTTTTAAAGAATATTTTTTCAAGGCATACCAAAGGCCTGGAATAGGCGTGGATTTTTAAAGAATATTTTTTCAAGGCATACCAAAGGCCTGGAATAGGCGTGGATTTTTGAAGAATAGGCATACCAAAGGCCTGGAATAGGCGTGGATTTTTGAAGAATATTTTTTCAAGGCATACCAAAGGCCTGGAATAGGCGCGGATTTTTAAAGATTACTTTTTCGAGGCCTAGAATAGGTGCGGATTTTTAAATATTACTTTTTCAATGCCTAGAACAGGAGTGGATTTCTTGGAAATATTTTTATAAGGCCTTGAATAGGCGTGGATTTATTAAAGAATATTTTCGAAAGGCCTAGAATAGGGTTGGGATTCTAAAGAATATTTTTTCAAGACCTAGAATTGGCTTGGGATTTTAAAGATTTTTCTCATACGTATTCTTTAAAAAATCTACCTTTCTGTTGGGCGCCACTTTGTTGAATACTTCAATTTATACTTTGTCCCTTTATCTTTGTGTTCCCCCTCCCAAAGGGTTAACATTTTTACACCTTATCTCACAAAAAAATCACCTACCAACCACCGAATGCTTGTAGAGTATGCATGTATGTACTCATACGCATATATACAGAACATAAGTGTGTACACACTCCGCATTTATAAGTTGCTACTTCATAATGCTATTAATAAAGATATCAATTACCTGCAAACATTCTACTTCGATTTTGATTTGATTAATTGTTCTACACGGCAAACACGCACACACACAACACAAGAAAACAATAATAATAATAATTTTATTATTGGTCGAAAAATCGGAAATTTAGTATCAATTAGACCATACAACGGTTTGGTGCTAATGCAGAAAAGGTGCTCCAATCAAAATAACCTCGACAACGATCCACAAAAATATATCAAACGATCGGTCATTATTTTGTGTAATAATTCCTCCCGTGACAATAGCATAACAAATGGATACTACAAAAACAGCCTTACCACCCACAACAACAACACCAACGACAAATTCCAAATCCTCAGCATTTTCAATAGAAAATATTTTGGAACAAAAATCGGAAAAGAAAACGCCTCTCATAAAACCCTTGAATGTTATAACCAAACAAATTGCCACATCACCTGCCACCGCAACGGGAGAATCGTATCCTCTACCATCTCCCACCAACAGCAGCAGCCTATCTCAAAAAACACCCGATCTTGAACAATACTCCGCCTTTAAAAATCTCACATTAAAGCAACCGGAATCGCCGAACACAATGTTACCTCAGAACCTGCAAACAAATCAGTTATTGCCTGCACATCATCATCCGCAATTACCTGCGCCAACTTCCCCATCCGGCCCTGCAAATTTACATTTTGATTCGTTGTACGATCCAGCCGCTTCGCTGTTCTATCAACAAATTTTGAATTTGCAAAAAAATTCCGCCTTTTTAATGCCCCATTTTCAGGCGGCAGCAGCTGCCGCGGCCATGGCTAATGCTGCGGCAGCTAATGGAGTACGAAGTGCCGCCGCCAATACACCGACGGTATATTGTGATCCCGCATATGGGCAATTTTTGGATTGTGAAGGTGAGTCATTGACACATTTTTTTTTTGAAAATTACGCCATTTTTTGAGGTAGTTGTTTGATGATTCAGCAATTATTATGTCAAGTTGCGGGGAACACCACTTTAAAAAATTAGACTTAAAAAAATTCACACCTTGGATGGAGCTTAAAAAATATTCTAAAAAATCTACGCACATGATGGAGCTTGTAAAAATATTGTCAAAATTGGATGGCCCTTTATAAATGTTATTTAAAAAATTCAAGAATCTGGTAGGCCTTGAAAATATATCATTTAAAATGTTTGCCCTGGATGGTACTTGAAAATTAACTTTAAAATATCCACAACTTGGACCGTCCTTGAAAAAAATATTCTTTAAAAAATCCACAACAATATCCCCTCATCTGCTATGCCTTGATAAAATATTCTTTTAAAAATTTTCGGCTCCGGAAAGTCCTGAAAAATATTCTTTAAAAAATCAACTTTAATGTCCCTTGGAAAAAACATTCTCTCTCTTTGTTCTTTAAAAAAAACACAATATTCTACTACAGCACGATAGCGACCGACCCGGTCAACTTACTATGAACAACTTATATAATATAAACAACAATACTGCTATACTGCTATGCAGATCAGCCTTGTTTTACCATAGCCGCGTCGTCGATATTCCAATGTCTTATATTGCATGCTTCTATTACACCATTATAGGGAATTTGCGTAATTTGACAATTTTCGAAGTCTTTAATAGCGTATCGATCGTTAGGCAGCACATTGTCCCTTGAATTTAAGCAATAATTTCTTATTTACCACTACAGGGGAGATTTTGTGGTTAATCGGAATGTGGACAGCACTAAAATGGAAAATATAGAAAGATTACAGTAAATTCGGCAAGAAAAATCCTGAAAATACAGTACCAAGGGAACCGGTATATTGTGGACAGGGACGAACGCAAAGGCATGAGGTATCTAAATTGACTGAGATCCCTCCTCAATGAGTTTATTGTTGCAACTGAGAAAAATCTCATATTGCACTAGCGGGACCAATTCTGATACATAGAACGAAAATTGAACCTATACCGACATTTTTTATATAAAACGAATCGAATATCCGAATTATCCGAATTATCCAAACATTCAACGTTGTTATATTTATATGTCGAACGTGGATGATATTCGATATTGGTTCGAATTGTCGAATTGTTTTTTTGAAATTTCGAAGATTTTCAATGAGCTGCGGATCTAAATCCAAAAAATCTTGAAAATCTTTTAATATAACTTCCGTATCCGACATATTTTATGTAAACCGAATAAAGTATCCGATTTCTTTCAAACATTCAACGTTGTTATATTTATATACCGAATTTAGATCATGTACGATGTTGGTTCGAATTGTCCATCCCACTACATCTTACACAAAGAAAAAACATTTTTATTTGAAATTTCAATGATTTCCAATGAGCTGCGGATCTAAATCCAAAGCCTGGCAAAATTTCGTAATATATGCACTCTACTGTGGGGTAATCCCTTGAAAATCTTAGTACATCAATTAAAGTAATTGATATTTGATTAAACATCTATATCTCTTATTTCCATGTCTTGGTCCATTTGATCCGCTAAAGCCATAAGAATTGGGTCGTTTCGATACGAACTAGTTTAATAGAACTTTTCCGCAAAAGGAACAACCGGTGCTAGTTGTGATTCGTTCATTCACCTTGTTCCTTTTGATCCAGCCGTTCCTTTATCGCTCTCGTTCACCGACAGATCGAAAGAGAAGATCGAGATGCATGATTGGATCAAAAGACGAACTAATCCAGTCGTTCATTTCGATCTCCTCTTTCATTGTCCAATTAACTGTCGTCTACTAATGAACTAAAAGGAATTATGGAACTAAATAGAACTAGTTTCTTTTGTGGAACGAAACTAAAAAAGCGAACCGCTCTAGAACGAGATTACCCAACTATAAGGCCCATTTTTATTCATTGGCTAGATTTCCTTCTCCGTAAAAATTTCGTTAGGTTCAGGTCCAAATTGTGGCGTTTAGAGCGAATAAAAAACCAGACTAACAAATAAGTTGATCATACCAAAGGAACTAGTTCAAAATAAGTATTCCGCAAAAGGACAATCAGTTATTAGATAGTTCCCTTGGCGTAGCGAACCGCTTCAAAAATGGGATTTCCTAAATTATAACGTCCATTTTTTCGTTGAGATGTGGCGTCTAGAGGCAGACCTAAAAGAAACGTTTTTAGTCCATCAACTGTGGTATAGACGTTGGTCTCTCCGTAACGAACTAGTTCTGCATAATGACGATCTGTATTAGGTCCAGTTCTTTCCTTCATCTAGTTCCTTTTGTTTCAGTCATTCCTTTTTGTTCATTTATCTACATCACCCCGTTCATTGGCCGATATCTGACGTATACCGATTAACTAAAAGGAACTATGGAATTAAATAAATGAACTAGTTCCCTTTGCAGAGATTGCCGAACTCTAACAATTCTTATTTATGGGCCATATTTCTTCATTGTGTAAAATCTCGTCATATTCGAGTCATAAAGTTATTTGAAAATATTTTCAGAATTTTAAAAATGTTGGCCGTATATTTCACCTAATAGAGCTGTAATTTGGCATTCGGTATTTATGCAGGATGACATACATATATGTAGAATATGATCAAAACAAGTCCATACCCAGCTCTGATTTTTTTTCCTGAATTCTCTAACATTTTTTCGATTATTTTCCGAGTAGTATGCACATACTCTGAATGGAAATGTAATGGTGTGTCGTTGTCGTTACTTTCCGAGTAATATTCACATACTCTAAAAGGCAATGTATGCAGTTAATTAAGAAAAACGAATTTTTTTATTCATGCGACTCTAAAAGGCAATGTATACAGTTAATTAAGAAAAACGAATTTTTTTATTCATGCGACTTTTCAGATTATCGATAGTATTCCGATTTTTTTCAGAATTTCGGATCAAACACACGGATCCGTTATTAGAAAAAATCCGATAAATTTCGAATTTCAGATCAAATGCACGATTTTTTTTAGAATTTCTGAAGAAGTATCCGAAAATCTTTGTATTTTCTCTCCGTTATCGAACTTTCCTTCAGAGTTTTGTCCGAAATAATGCAGAAAATCGGAAATGTCTTTAAAATTTCCTATTTTTCACTTGAGTTTTTTACGAATACCTTTAAAATTTGTAAAGTATTACGAATGTTCCTTCCGATTTTTATTTTTTTTTTATTTTTACCGAAAAAACTTTTTGAATTTGTAAGCATATTCACACAATTTTGTTCCGATTTCGGCATCAGAATCGGAACAAAACATGAACAGGCTTTCGTTCCGTATTCGGAAAAAGCTCGTTACCAAACACTTAAAGTTCCTGATTAATTTTCGTTATTTTGAGGGTATTTTAGCAGCATTTTCCAATCGAGGAAGCTGTAAATTGAAATCCTGTCTTTATGGGAATTGATATGCAGAATATGATCGAAAGAATACCACATTTTGACATAGCAACCACATAAGGGTTCCGGCCCGTTTTCGGTATTTCAAAAGGGTTGTAGCAGAAAAAACTGTAAATTGACATTTCGAAATCCGGAGAGTGCGACATACATCTATGAAGAAAATGTTCATTATAGGTACAGGTTTTCACATTCCCGTTTTCGATATATACAAGATTTTAACCAAATTTTCTGTATGTCACCTTCCTGACATAAAGCAGACAAAAAAAACAGTGAGCGGAGCAGTATAGTCGGACGGGGCCGACCATATGATACCCTACACAACTACCACGGAACTCTAACATTCTGCCGACGTTTATTCTGTGCGTGGGCAATATTTCGTGATAATTGCACCCTCTTGCCCGATTAAAGATCGACAGCACCTCTTCCTTACACTGACATATTTACCGAATATTCCCAATATTGAGTACAACCCTTCAATTACTTGTCCAGATTCCCTTGTGCTGTGATGTTCGGATTATAATTGTGGCCAATAGATCGTGTCGAAAAAAATATAAAAAATTAAGTTTTCGGTCCACTTCATCCCAAAATTTTGATTTGATCATCACCAAAAAATTATACCCGATATCCCTGACCATACCTGGATCCTCATTGAACATTTTAAAGTGATCAGCGCTATATTTCCGCCCTCTAGTGTGGTATTGGGTTACTAAATAATGTCTGAATACGTAAGCACCTGTAAATATTTAAGTGTAACTCCCACATCTGAGTACATACGACCATATAATTGATATCAATTTAAAGACCACTCCTCTTAAACACGCTACAAACTTCTCGGGCCTTGGTCCTTCAGGGGCAAATATATACGACATAGAATACAAATTTTGTCATTTTTCACACAAATGTCAGGGTTCATTTGACCCGCTAAATATTGACCGATCTTTATCAAAACAAGCATACTTATTCTTTGGTCCGATCCCCTTCTCTATGCAAAAATTCGCGGTGTTTGGGCCATAATTGCGGCCTTTGGAGCTACCAGAAAAACCGACAAAAAAATTAAAGTTTTTGGTCCATTTCATCCCCTAAATATTAACCGATCTTTTCCAAAAACAATAGGGGTCTTCATTGGCCAGAACCCATTCTACATGCAAAATTTCGTGAAGATTGGTCCATAATTGTGGCTTGCATCGTGTTTACAAATTATAATGGACAGACGGATTGACGGACACACATGTCTAGATCGACTCAGCTAGTCGAGATATGGCGATCGGTATACTTAAAGGTGGGTCTAGGACCAATATTTCGCGGCGTTACAAACTTTTGGAGCTGCACAAAACTATAATACCCTGACAACATAGTTGTGTAGGGTATAAATGACAACATAGTTGTGTAGGGTATAAAAAAAACAATATAGGTCCACTTTTTACACATGTAGGATATGTAAAGATGATATTTTGAAAGCCTTAGCCGCACCATTCTGCATTAATGAAGTGGATGTAATTTGGAATTTCTTTTGGATAGGTACTACTATTATCAGAAAATGTATATTTAATAGACCCTCACACTAAGGGTACCGCTTAATTTTGCTGAGGTTCCAATAAGAAGTTTCTGGCCCAATTTTTAAAAAAAATTAAATTTTTTCATAAAACTTATATTGTCATGTACACCATATGAAGGAGAGAATATGGAACCAAAAAAATTATCTTAAAGTTGATTTTTACAAATTTTCTTATTAAACATTAAATTGAATTAATATTAAAATTAAAAAAAATTGAAGAGATTTTCAACACCCCACAAAATCATGGCTAAAAAATTCCTTGAAAAAATACCTTACAGACAATTTTATATACAAAATGTCCATACAAATATGTATCACAATAAATAACCCTTCTTCAAAAAACATGTAAACAAATAATAACAAAAACACCAAATCAGGAGTTCAAATCAAGTGTTGGCGCCAATGTATGACATGAAGACAAACAAACATCAACATCAAACCACAACGAAAGGTGTCAATACAAATCTATAACAATTTGTTCAAACAAACGAAAAAATATTTCAAAAACAGGAGGAAAATAGGCGCACCTTAGTGGTGCCTACCTAACATTTTGATTATTACTATTACAACATCTACAATTGTGACGCCTCACAGATATCTGTGTATTGTGTGTATTTAAGAGATATTAATCGGGACAAATATTCGTCATAACAGCGGGCTTATCATGCGAACAGAGTTACAAAGTACTTGGGCACCAAAGGTTGAACAACATAGGCAGTGATTTTTTTCGGTTCAGATTTTTATTTGTTAAATTCAACAACGAAAGGTGTGAAATGTCCAAGGGGGGAAGTTTAGGGGGGTTAGTATGAAATTTTGAAGTACCTTTTTACTTTGCCTAGACTGTCAACAAATGGATAGATAGATGGATGGATGTTATCTTAAAACGATTTTCGTTTTGAATTAACTATTCGAAAAATGCTATTAACAACGATTAATCATTATGTCCATTATTAATGCGATAATGATAAGGCCATACCAGAACTTCGTATAGAAGACGACAGCAGATAACAGAAAATGAGGGGATTTTAAGAAATACCTACGTAAAAACATATCTAAGCAGATACTCAGCTATGTCGATGTCGTAAAATCAAAAGAAATCAGAACAAAAAAATACTTCAGTCACAATCAATAAATAGTAATAGCTTAAATTATGTTAAATTTAATTTTTGATAATTTTGAAGCATTTTTTTTTATTTTTGCTTATATATACACAATCAGTGGTTCTTTTTCTATACAGAAGAAGAAAAAACAACAAATAAATTGAATTTCACCTCATTAACACCATTGTTATCAAATTTCAAAAAAAAAAATACAAAATTGGTGATAGCACTCAAAACAAATAACCGTTAATAACGTATTTCGAAGGTATTTATAATTATTGTGTTGTTGTACTACCACTTACTGCCTGCCTACTGTGATTATTTTCGGTAGCTATCATCATTTCGTTAACGTAATCTATTTTGTCTTGTCAATTTGTATATCTCCTTCAACTAAATTGCATTTATCAATTAATGCCATTTAGTATAGAAATTTATTACCGACGAACGACACCAACCAAATAAAACATTTTGAAACGAAAAAAAAATAATTTACGGAATTTTTCTACTTATGAAAGAGTTTGCGGTCATGTGGTTTGTGTGTTCTGCGTTCGGGTAATTTCTTCTTTTTGTTTAAAGAAGAAGAAGAATTAGTTTATTGTCTCTTTTTATATGAATAGTAAATAATGAAGACGTCATTGAACAAGAACACGCACAAACAAACTCTGCTTTATAGTGAACACGACTGTGGTGGGTGTGTGTTTTCATAATACCACACACATACACACACGCTCTCTCACTACACAAATAACTGGAGTAACGTTATAAAGAGAAAGGGAGAGAGATAGTGACAATGTATTGTGTGAAGTAATGCAGTTAGATGTTGGTGTAGTTGTTGTTAGCTTTACTATTGGTTGTGCATTGTTTTCCGTTATGTTGACATTCTCTCATGACGTCCACATGTAACAAAGAGAGCTGTAGAGTCAAGTTTTTCTCTAATCAACCAATCAGAGCGAAGAATGACTCCATTATTGTTTTAATCTGTTTTTAAGTGAATGGCTGACATATTAAGCTATCACATGGTTGGATTATTAAGGAGTTTTATTGGTGATTGCAATTTGAACAGTGTTTTAAGGCAATTATCTGCCATAAAAAGGGAAAATTGAACGTCCTTCTATAGACCTTTTGTGTGATAAATATTTTCCAAATTTATGATGATTGGCATATTAAGCTATCGCGTGGTTGGATTTTTTAGGAGTTTTATTGGTGATTGCAATTTGAACAGTGTTTAAAAGCAATAATCTGCCAAAAATGAGAAAATTGAACGAAAAAGCCATGAAACAATTAAAAATTGGATAAACTAATTTAAAATTGGCTAAAAATCTAAAAAGAAATCCATTAATATTTTTAAAAATTGCAAACAGTCCTCAAACTCAACTTCTATAGAACTTTTGTGTGATAAATATTTTCAAAATTTGTGATGATTTTGTAATTATTAAAATATAAATATATTACAATATAACAACAGATAGTTGGTTGGTAAGGCATCTTTTTTTCGAAGAATAAAATACAATACAAAATTGTTTAAAATTGTATGATAAATATATATAAAATTTTTGATGATTTTGTAGCCATGAAATTATACAATTTTTAATTATATTTAGAGATAAATGGTTGATTAGGAGATTGATTTTGTGAAGAAAAACATACAAAATTCTTCAAAATTAATATTAAAAAATCATTATAAAAGTGTTAAAAAGAAAAAAATCCTTAACAATAAATATATGAATAAACCAGTAAGGAAAGAAGTAAAGTCGGTGATACCCTTCAGCACTTTGTGTATATTCAACAGATTAATCCTAACAGATGTCGCATTTTTAAAGGACCAGTAAACTGAAATTGGATCCATAAACATGTCATTCTGCATTATATACTAAATTTTTCATTTGGTCAGATATAGAAGATATATCTAAATCTGAACAGATTTTCACGAAACTTAACACACATCATTCTAGACCTAATTCGTTACGATGTGCCAATCTTCGTGCAAATCGAAAGATATTAAGAGACTTTGGTGCACCATTTACCTTAAATCGGACGAAAATATATATGGGAGCTATATCAAAATCTGAACCGATTTTCACGAAACTTAACACACATCATTCTAGGCCTAATTCATTACGCTGCGCCAAATTTCGTGCAATTCGAAAGATATATAGGGACTTTGGTGCATCATTTATATTAAATCGGTTAAAAATATATATGGAAGCTATATCTAAATCTGAACCGATTTTTCCCAATTTCAATAGGGTTCGTCCTTGGGCCAAATAAGTGACTGATGCCAAATTTCATCCAAATCGGATCATAAATGCGACCTGTATTTTGTTCACAAAAATACATGAACGGACGGACAGGCGGACATGCGTAAATCGACTCAAAAAGTGATTCTATGCATATTCTCAAAAGGAACCATGTGTATATCTCGTTTCCTTTTGCCTGTTACAAACATATGCACAAAGACATAATACCCTGTACCACAGTGTGGTGAAGGGTATAAAAAACTCAAAAAATATTCTTTTCAAAAATTGAATAAAATATTAAAAAAAATATTTTGTAATATATTTTTATTTTCCATCCATCCATTTTTTTACCTTAACATAACTAACCCACCTCCTCCATCTCTTTGTGTTCTCATTCCAGGTTTCCCTGCCAATGCCTCTGCCGCTGCTGCCCTCTACTGCAATGCCGCTGCCGGTTATCCCGGTTTCTATATGCCGGGGTTTGGTGTCAAACGTAAGGGTGGTCAGATACGATTCACATCGCAACAAACTAAAAATCTCGAAAATCGCTTCATCTCATCGAAATATTTATCACCCGAAGAGAGACGCCATCTGGCCATACAGCTGAAGCTGACAGATCGTCAAGTGAAGACATGGTTTCAAAATCGTCGTGCCAAATGGCGTCGGGCAAATCAAGCTAAACGTTCGGCAGCCCATTATGCCAATATGCAGCAACATCAAACGTCTTCTGCCCCTACGGCCGCCGCCATTGGTACAGGCGGCGGAACTCTGCCCTCCAGCGCAACAACAAGTGTCATTAAAACAACAACAACAAATAACACAAATCCGCATTTAAGTGCCGAAGAACAACAATTTCTATCGGAGAATAGTGAAAGTGATATGGATTCGGATGAGGAGGTCTATGTCCAAGATAGGCCAAGGTCGGAGTGATCAGATGGGAAATTAATTTTTTTATTTATGGGAAATATTTGTGAATAGTTAGCTTTAAGATAGAGATTTAGGTATTTTTTCGAAATTAATTTAAGAACCTAAATGTTTGAAATTTATGGTTGTATGGTCTATGGAATGACCTTATATGCCGCTCCAAAGTATTATTACGCATTTATTAGATTTTAAGGAAATACTTTTAGTTCTTAGTCTTAGAATTGTAAATACTAATTAAATTATTAAATAAAACACAAGAGAATGCCAAAGAAAAATCCACGCCTTTTTGTTGTCACGAAAAAATATTTTTTAACAAATGCTTGGATTTTTTTTAAATCCACGCCTTAAAAAAATATTTTTAAATCCATGCTTGTTTTTTTTTAAATCCATGCTTGGAAATTTATTTTTTTAAATCCATGCTTGTTTTTTTAAATCCATGCTTGGAAATTTATTTTTTAAAAATCCATGCTTGGAATTTTTTTTAAATCCATGATTGGATTTTTTTTTAATCCATGCTTGGCATTTATTTTAAATCCACGCCTCGAAAATATATCTTTTAAATATATGTTTTTGCAAAATAGTCAGGCTTAATCCCAGTTTGTTGTTTTTATAAAAAAAAAAAAAAACAACTATTTATTAGTGGGGAATGTATTTTTTTGTAAATCCAGGGGTCAGAAAATATATTTTTTTTAATAAATCTCGCCACTGAAAATATATAGTTTTTTTTGGGATATAAATCCACGAAGCTAAAATATAGCTTTTTTACAAAAAACCTTTCAAACCCATAATTTTCTTGTGAAATTCGAAAATATATTTTTTTTAATAAATCCACGACCGAAAATATATTTTTTTTTAAAAATGAGAAGTTTTTTTTTGGCGCCTGACTTCGTGGTCAACAAGGCAATATACAACTAAATACATTTCCCGAAAATATATTTTTTATGTGCATTCGTCACAAAGTGACGACACATAGCAGTGGGAAATGTATTTTTTTTATAAATGCCTTGTCGAAAATATACCATAAATCCACGCCAACGAAAATATACTTTTTGGGGTCGTATCGCTGGTAACGTAAATCCACGTCACAAAATATACATTTTTTTGAAAGGTTTTTTGTAAATATAGCTATTAATTTTTTTAATAAATCCACCAACAAAAAACTATATTTTGATGAGGATCAGTGGCGAGATCCGAAAATATATCTTTTTTTAATTACCCCTCGGACATATTTTTTTTAATAAATTCCCCAAAATATATAGTTTTTTTTTTTTATTTTTTTATAAAAACAACAAACTGGGATTCCACGCCTCGACTATTTTGCAAAAACAAAATATATTATCCCAAATAACCCGCCAAACACTACGGATTTTTTAAATATATTTTTTTTAATAAATCCACGCCTCGAAAATTTATTTTTTAAATATTTTTTTTTAATAAATCCACGCCTCGAAAATATATTTTTTTTAATAAATCCACGCCTCGAAAATATATTTTTTTTAATAAATCCACGCCTCGAAAATATATTTTTTTTAATAAATCCACGCCTCGAAAATATATTTTTTTAATATATTTTTTTTTTAATAAATCTACGCCTCGAAGATTTATTTTTTATATATTTTTTTTAAAAAATCCACTCCTCGAAAATATATTTTTTAAATATTTTTTTTTAAATCCACGCCTCGAAAATATATTTTTTAAATATTTTTTTTTAATAAATCCACGCCTCGAAAATATTTTTTTTTTTAAATTCACGCCTCGAAAATATATTTTTTAAATATTTTTTTTTAATAAATCCACGCCTCGAAAATATATTTTTTAAATATTTTTTTTTAATAAATCCACGCCTCGAAAATATATATTTTTTTTTAAATCCACGCCTCGAAAATATATTTTTTAATAAATCCACGCCTCGAAATATATTTTTTTTAAATCCACGCCTCGAAAATATATTTTTTAAATATTTGTTTTAATAAATCCACGCCCCGAAAATATATTTTTTTAAATATCTTTTTTAAAAAATCCACTCCTTGAAAATATATTTTTTAAATATTTTATTATTGAATATATTTTTTATTGAAAAAATATTTTTCAAAGTATTCACGCCTTGAAAAAATATTTTTTAAAAATCCACGCCTTGAAAAAATATTTTTTAAAGTATTCACGCCTTAAAAAAATATTTTTTAAAAATCCACGCCTTGAAAAAATATTTTTTAAAAAAATCCTCGCCTTAAAAATATATTTTTTTAAAATATTTTTTAAAAAATCCACGCCTTGAAAAAATATTTTTTAAAATAATCCACGCCTTAAAAAATATTTTTTAAAATAATCCTCGCCTTGAAAAAATATTTTTTAAAAAATTCACGCCTTGTATGGATAGCTTTGAAAAAATATTTTTTAAAAAATCCACGACTTGTATGGATGGCTGCCTTGAAAAAATATTTTTTTTAAAAATCCACGCCTTGAAAAAATATTTTTTTTAAAATATCCAAGCCTTGAAAAAATGTTTTTTAAAAAATCCACACCTCGAAAATATTTTTTTTTATACAAAGCCTCGAAAATATATTTTTTAAATATATTTTTTTTAATAAATCCACGCCTCGAAAATATTTTTTTTTTTAAATTCACGCCTCGAAAATATATTTTTTAAATATTTTTTTTTTAATTCACGCCTCGAAAAAAATATATTTTTTTTAATTCACGCCTCGAAAAAATATTTTTTAATAAATCCACGCCTCGAAAAAATATTTTTTTAAAAATTCCAAGCCTTGAAGAAATATTTTTTAAAAATTCCACGCCTTGAAAAAATATTTTTTTTTTAAATCCACGCCTCGAAAATATATTTTTTAAATATTTTTTTTAATAAATCCACGCCTCGAAAATATTTTTTTTAAATCCACGCCTCGAAAATATATTTTTTAAATATTTGTTTTAATAAATCCACGCCCCGAAAATATATTTTTTTAAATATCTTTTTTAAAAAATCCACTCCTTGAAAATATATTTTTTAAATATTTTATTATTGAATATATTTTTTATTGAAAAAATATTTTTTAAAGTATTCACGCCTTGAAAAAATATTTTTTAAAGTATTCACGCCTTAAAAAAATATTTTTTAAAGTATTCACGCCTTGAAAAAATATTTTTTAAAGTATTCACGCCTTGAAAAAATATTTTTTTTAAAAAATCCACGCCTTGAAAAAATATTTTTTAAAAAATCCACGCCTTGAAAAAATATTTTTTAAAAAATTCACGCCTTGAAAAAATATTTTTTAAAAAATCAACGCCTTGAAAAAATATTCTTTAAAAAATCGACGCCTTGAAAAAATATTTTTTTTAAAAATCCACGCCTTGAAAAAATATTTTTTAAAATATCCAAGCCTTGAAAAAATGTTTTTTAAAAAATCCACACCTTGAAAAAATATTTTTTAAAAGATCCACGCCTTGAAAAATATTTTTTAAAAGATCCACGACTTAAGAAAATATTTTTTAAAAAATCCACGCCTTGAAAAAATATTTTTTAAATAATCCACGCCTTGAAAAAATATTTTTTAAAAAAATCCACGCCTTGAAAAAAATATTCTTTAAAAAATACACGCCTTGAAAAAATATTCTTTAAAAAATCCACGCCTTAAAAAATATTTTTTAAAAAATCCACGCCTTAAAAAAATATTTTGTAAAAAATCCACGCCTTGAAAAAATATTTTTTTAAAAAATCCACACCTTGAAAAAATAATTTTTTTAAAAAAACTACACCTTGAAAAAATATTTTTTAAAAATATCCACGTTTTGAAAGAATATTTTTTAAAAATCCACGCCTTGAAAAAATATTTTTTAAAAATCCACGCCTTGAAAAAATATTTTTTAAAAAATCCACGCTTATTCTAGACCTTGAAAATTCTCAACAATAAAAAATATTTATTTTATTAATTTTTATATTTTTTTATTTTATTTTCTTTATTTAGTTTTCATGAATATATTCATCGGTCATTTGTTTAATATTTTTTTGTTGTTTCTTAGTATAACTTTTGTTTGTAATTGTTACATTTTTTTGGGGGAATATTTCTTTAATTATCTTTGATTGGAGTTTAATTTATTTATTTTTTATTTTTAAATTGATTTTTGCATATTTTCTGTTGATTAATTATTGACTGAATATGCATTTGTTTTTGTTAGTTGAATTTAATTTTTAATTTATGTATTTATTTATTTTGAAATATATTTTTTTATTTGTTTTTGGGGACAAAATTGTTTATGGTCAACTATAAATAATTTTTAAATTTTTTTGTAAAGAGGTTAACTACAAAAAATGTTGTATTTTTTTAATTGATTTTTCTTAAATGAAATCTGAACATATTGTTTTTTTGTTGTTGGTAATATTAAAGTATTTCGAGAGAATGTAAAGTAGAGTAGAGGCGGTTTAAAAAAATATAAACCCCCGTCTGGGTTTAGCTTTGGTTGGAGAGAAATTCGTATATAAGTAACACATGTGTTCAAAATATAGTCCTCAGGGAGAATGTTTAAATAAGAGATGTGGACCAAAATTTGCAGAAAAAAATGCCCAAATAATTACTCGTATTTGTTCCATTACCATTGGCCGAATATAACAAAAGTTATCTAAAAATTATCCAAAAATTACTTCTTTAACAATGGCCCAATTTCACATTGGTGTACCAAAAAAAAAGAGTATATTTGTTTGTCCCATTGGAGTTTTTTGTGCTCTTTTTTCATCAAAAATGCAGCCAATTATGCCTCGAAATATTTATTTTTTAGTTTCAGTCTCTTAAAGTACAAACGAATGACTATTTACGGTATTATTAAAATTCAAAGCATACTTTTAGGCGCTGTAATGATTTTCTTTACAAAAGAAAATAATTTAATAATGATTTCACTCCGAGGACATAATAGAACACATGTGTTATCTATTTCATCATAAATATATTAATTTTTTATTATTTATAATTTATTGAACTTAGAAAAAATTGTAGTATTATTATTTTTAAAAAAATACATAACCTAAAAATTGTTTTAATTTTTTTCTTTAATTTCTTTTTTGAGATTAATATCAAGCACTTTTTGTGGTACAGTTTTATTCCATTTTAGTTTCATATTTTTGGGATTTGAATTTTTTATATATTCTTTATTAATTTTTTGGGGGATTTTAGTTTTGTTTTTTACTATTAATAAATTTATTTATATATGTATATAGAACTAGATTTATAGAATTACATACCAAAAAATAATAATAGCACTACAAAAATTGTTGTTGTTGTTCTGGTTTTTCGAATTTTAATTTAGTTTTCTTTGTTTTGTTTCGAATATATAATTGTTCCTTGTTGTTGTTGTTATTGATGTTCTTATATATTTATAAATGTATATAATTTATTGTAACATTTTATTTTATTTATAATTTTTTTCTTTTTTGTTGTGGTTTAGTTTTATAAGCATAAATATATATTTTCATATGTATAGATAAAAAAATAAAGTTTATTTTATTTAAATAATATATAAGCAATAATTACAAAAAATAGTTATATAGTTGAAAACAAACAAAAAAATCGTTAATATTTTTATATGTATATATATTTATATAGTATGTATATAATAATTTAAGCATTTAAGCATTAAAAAATAGTATTTTAAAAATATTTGTTGTTGAATTTTTAAAGTTTTTTTTTTAATTTATGTTTTTTGACTATAATATAAAATAGCTTTACATATAGAAATCGTTTAGGAAAATATCAGAGAGAAAAATATATATGCGAATGGAATTTGGTGGAAGAAGTTAAATTTGATTTATAATAACAAAATAATGTTTTATTTTTTTAATGTTTAACAATAACTTTTAAAAAATTATTACATATTCACAGAACATCTGATGTATCTGATGCCATTAAAGACAGTTTGTCGAAATTGCTTTTGGAAAAAAACGAGTCCAAAATTCCCAAAGTCGGAATAATGAAGGGTGCCGTTATATGAGGACTACCCCAAAACTTAGTCCAATTTTCATAATTTTTGGTAGAGAGGTTTTCTATCCACTGAGAATACAAATTTTAAAATTACAGGCAATTCGACTAAAAAACGAGTCCAAAGTCCCCAAAATCCGAATAATAAAGGTGTACCGTTATATGGAGACTATAACAAAATGTGGGCCGATATTAATATTTTTTGGTAAGAAGATATGACACCCTATGAAAATACAAAATGCCAAATTAACGACAATTCGCTAAAAAACGAGTCCAATATTCCCAAAATCAGAATAATGAAGGGTACCGTTATATGGGGACTACTATCTTAGGCCAATTTTCATAATTTTTGGTAGGGAGATTTTTTACCCAATGAGAATCCAAACTATAAAATTATAGGCAATTTGGTTGAAAACCGAGTCGAAAAATCCCCAAAATCAGAATAATGAAGGGTGCTCTTATATGGGGCCTAACCCGAATCTTAGGCCAATATTTATAATTTTTGTTAGATAAGTTTTCTATCCAATGAGAATCCGAACTATAAAATTACAGGAAATTCCGTTAAAAAAGTGTCCAAAATCCCAAAAATCAGCATAGTAAAGGTTACCGTTATAAGGAGGCTACCCGAATCTTGGGCCAATGTTGATAATCTTTGGTAGAGAGGTTTTCTATCCAATGAGAATACAAAATACCAAATTACAGGCAATTCCGTTAAAAAAACGTGCCAAAATCCCTAAAATCGGATAATGAGGAGAACCATTATATGGGGGCTACCCGAAAAGGTGCACCGATATTGATAATTTTTGGTAAGAAGATTTTCTACGCTATCATAACACAAAACACCAAATTAGAGACAAGTCGGTTAAGAAACGTGTCCAAAACCCCCAAAATCGGAATAATTAGGTGTACCGTTTTATGCGGACTACCCCGAATCTTGGACCAATGTTAATAATTTTTGGTAGGTTTGGTTTGATTTTGGTAATTTGGTTGAAAAACGAGTCCAAAATCCCAAAAATCCGAATAATGAAGGGTCTATGTCCTTCAGGAGTAAATATATTCACCATAGAACACATTTTGTATTTTTTCACATAAAAGTCAGGGTCCATTTGATTCGCTGAATAATGACCGATCTTTATCAAAACAGGTCTTCTTATTCTTTGTCCCGATCCCCTTCTCCAAGTAAAATTTCGCGATGTTCGGGCAATACTTGCGGTCTCTGGAGCGACCAGAAATTCAGACAAAAATGAAGTTTTTGGTCCATTTCAACCCCATTAATATTAACCGATCTTAACCAAAAACAATAGGGGTCTTCATTGGCCAGAACCTATCCTACATTCAAAATTTCGTGAAGATTGGTCCATAACTGTGGCCTGTATCGGGTTAACAAATTATAATGGACAGACGGACGGACGACACACATGTCTAGATTGACTCAGCTAGTAAAGATCGGCATACTTAAAGGTGGGTCTAGGACCAATATTTCGCGGCGTTAAAACTCTTGGGGCTGCACAAAACTATAATACCCTGACAACATAGTTGTGTAGGGTATAAAATTAATATTGAAAATATTGGAAGGAAAAACTGTGATGAAAACAATGTTTGGAAACTTTCGACAAAGTAAATTGGCGGTCAGTCTTCAAAACAACCTTAGTAGATTTTTTTTAAGATTTTAGATATCGTCACATATGGAATAGTGAGTCTCTGCGTTAACACATAATAATACAACAAAATAAAAAAAAAATATATAACAATAAAAAAATTCTTAAACAAATCATAATACACTAATTAATGAATTACAACATAACAAAATAAGTTTTAATACAAAAATAGTTAAAAATTTAAGAATACATTAGATTAACCTATGGAAAACGGAATTTTCCTTACAAAAAACACCTTCACAAATTCCATTCGCATTTTGAAATCAGTTCAATTTTTTGTTTTCTTTTTGGCAGCAAATAATATTGGAATTGCAAAGGAAATCCATTCGATTTTCTTTTATTAAATTAATGTGGAGAGTAGGAGGAGCAGGGGTATTGTAAAATAATTATTATTTTTGTTTGTGTGTATGTGTTTTTTCAGAGTTTGAGTATATTGTTTCGCGGTTTCTGTTTTGTAGTTGTCCTTGTTTGTTGTTATTATTGTTAAAATTAATAAATTTTTTGTAATTTCTGCATAATATTTTTTTGTTATTGTTGTTTGTTTTGGAATAGTTTCTAAACATGCATGTACAACACAATTTGGTACATATAAATATATTTTGTGGTTTGTTTGTATTTGAGTATTGTTTTTTTATTTTTTTGTTGCATTCTAAATACTTTGGTTTCAATTTTAGCTCAGTTATTATTTTTTAGTGTTTCAAATATAATAACTTTTTTCCATACGATTTTCCCTGTTTTTTTTTCTTGGAAATCATTTTCATTTGTTTTTGTTGTTTATAAAATTTTAACAGTATTTACACTAAATTGGCCACATGTGACGTATCCATGTGTTGTATTAATGTGCGCATAAATGACATCTCCTTGCGGGCATTCTCCAATATCACCTTCGGATCATCGGAGGTGCAGCGCAAACAATTTGGGGCAAAGACCATTGCCAAATTGGATGAATCCATTTTGGTAGCACTCACGACATCGGGATGGGAAAATTGTTGCAGGAAATGTATTAGATAGGTTAGGACCTGTAAAGAAAAGACGAAGAAGACAAAAGTTAAATATTTTTGATTTATTAATGAATATTTTTCAAGGGCCAACTGAGGCGTGGATTTATTAAAGAATATTTTTCAAGGGCCAAATGAGGCGTGGATTTATTAAAGAATATTTTTCAAGGGCCAACTGAGGCGTGGATTTATTAAAGAATATTTTTCAAGGGCCAATGTGTGGATGAGGCGTGGATTTATTAAAGAATATTTTTCAAGGGCCAACTGAGGCGTGGATTTATTAAAGAATATTTTTCAAGGGCCAACTGAGGCGTGGATTTATTAAAGAATATTTTTCAAGGGCCAAATGAGGCGTGGATTTATTAAAGAATATTTTTCAAGGGCCAATGAGGCGTGGATTTATTAAAGAATATTTTTCAAGGGCCAACTGAGGCGTGGATTTATTAAAGAATATTTTTCAAGGGCCAACTGAGGCGTGGATTTATTAAAGAATATTTTTCAAGGGCCAACTGAGGCGTGGATTTATTAAAGAATATTTTTCAAGGGCCAACTGAGGCGTGGATTTATTAAAGAATATTTTTCAAGGGCCAACTGAGGCGTGGATTTATTAAAGAATATTTTTCAAGGGCCAACTGAGGCGTGGATTTATTAAAGAATATTTTTCAAGGGCCAACTGAGGCGTGGATTTATTAAAGAATATTTTTCAAGGGCCAACTGAGGCGTGGATTTATTAAAGAATATTTTTCAAGGGCCAACGCGTGGAGTTGGATTTATTAAAGAATATTTTTCAAGGGCCAACTGAGGCGTGGATTTATTAAAGAATATTTTTCAAGGGCCAACTGAGGCGTGGATTTATTAAAGAATATTTTTCAAGGGCCAACTGAGGCGTGGATTTATTAAAGAATATTTTTCAAGGGCCAACTGAGGCGTGGATTTATTAAAGAATATTTTTCAAGGGCCAACTGAGGCGTGGATTTATTAAAGAATATTTTTCAAGGGCCAACTGAGGCGTGGATTTATTAAAGAATATTTTTCAAGGGCCAACTGAGGCGTGGATTTATTAAAGAATATTTTTCAAGGGCCAACTGAGGCGTGGATTTATTAAAGAATATTTTTCAAGGGCCAACTGAGGCGTGGATTTATTAAGAATATTTTTCAATTATTCTGATTTTGGTAATTATGGACACGTTATTTATCCGAATTGTCTCAATTTTGGCATTTTGTATTCTTATTGTGTTGAAAATCTCCCTAATAATATCGGCCCACATTTTGTTATAGCCCCCATATAATGGTACCCCTCTTATTATTCTGATTTTGGCGATTTTGAACACGTTTTTCAACCGAATGGCCTGTAATTTTATATTTTGGATTCTCATTGGGTATAAAATCTCTCAACCTAAAATTATTAACATTGAACCAAGATTCGATGTAACTCCCATATAACGGTGCCTCTTATTATTCTGATTTTGGTTATTTTGGACACGTTTTTTATCTGAATTGTCTTTGGTTTGGCATTTTGTATTCTCAGGGGGTGTCAAATCTCCCCACCATAAATAATTAATATCAACCCACATATAACGGTACTCCTCTTATTATTCTGATTTTGGGGAATTTGGACACGTTTTTCAACTAAATTACCTATAATTTTATAGATCGGATTCTCATGGGATAGAAAACTTTTCTAACAAAAATTATCATCATTATAAATATCGGCCGATCTTTGACCCTATATACAGTCACCTCATGGTGGAGGGTATAAAGCCCGGTCAAACTTAATGACGTTCCTAATTGTTTACTTACCAACTTATTCAGTTCTGGCAATTTATCAACTATAGCTTTGGCCTTATCTGGATCATCGGTATTTACACATTCATCGTACAGTTCATCGGGTATAAGGGGATCATATAGTTCACGATACCACAGCTTTAATAGACTAGCAGGGGCATGGGCATCAGCTGGAAAGGTAAAACAAACCAAAACATTAGAAAGAAGACTTTAAAGACCTCCTTAATGGACCAACCCATAGTATTTTTATAATCAGGAACTTCCCACCGATCTAAACGATTCTTCAAACAATTGACTTCATCAACATCGGCTGATACACGGAAAATACCTTCCGTTTGTTTGCCATTGAGCAAGAGGACCTGGAGAAAGAACAAAGAAAAATATATTATATAAATAAATTTGAATTATTTTAGAAGGATATTGAAATTATTTGTGAGGTTATGTTCGATTAACTTACATGCTCCGATAATGTTGTTTGTATCCATGGTAATTTACGGAATGGAAATTTATCCTTTTGCAATAGCATCACCTCCTCCAGGGTATTGCCAAACATGCTGTTGCGTAAAATTTGATTCTAAAAATAAAAAAAAAAAAACAATAATAATATTTATTTCAGAATTAATATCATTCAAATCTAATTTCAAAAAGCATTCTTACTCTAGCCTGTTCCACTTCATCTTCGGTTGGCTTTTTAGCCTGCCTTCTACCATGGCTACCAATACGATCTAAGCGTCTACAGCATACAGTGGCATAATGTGATATTTGAACGTGAATGGGCCATTTACCCACCTCGGGGAAAGAGGTGGCAAATGTGGGATCTCTATGACGATTGACATAACTAGAAGAGGGAAAATGGGAGAGCCATAAGATGAGTTATGCACAAACATGACTTAAAATAATTTTAGGAAAAAAAATCTCCACACTCACTTTAACAATGTCGGTTGGAACGTGGGCGAGGGTGGTACAAATGACAAACACACAGCCATCAGCTCCCAGCCTCGAATCAATGAATCACGTTTAGGATTTTCAGTGGTTTGTCGGCATAACTGTACATATAATTCATCGCGTAATCTGAAAATGAGGGATTTAAAGGTATTAAAGGACATTCAATTGATTAATAAAATTCGGAACTTACTGCTGCTGAGGCAAAGCTATTGTAATAATATCAATCGCCACGGAATTCAAGGTCATTCCAGCTCTGGCCTTACGATCGCCCATATAGATTTGCACCAGCTTAAACATTTCAATGGCATTCTTTTTGTCGTTTTTATCTCGTGACAATGCCAACATGGGCCGGCTAATGGCCTCGGCTGTCCAACTTAACATATCGCGTACGGAAGACTGGAAAAGGGAGGAGGAGGAAGAAGAAATAATGATTAAATAAATGAAGAAGATAATATTTCAATTTCGATTTTTAAAGAATAAATCATTCAGGCCAACAAGTTTGTGGATCCAAATCCGTAAATTTTAAAGAAGATTTTACCAAGGACTGTTAGTCTGAAAGACAAACCTGCCTAAAGGCTTGAAGTTTTAAAAAAGTTTTAGGATATTCGACAAAAAAATGGGAATTTTTAAAGATTTTTTCAAGGACCTACAGACCAAAAGGCGTTATTTTTTAACAAATTCCAATTTTTAAGGTCTATTAAGGCCTACATTTTTCAAAGAATAAAATAAAAATATTTAAAGAATATTTTTAAAGAATATTTCTTCAAGGCCTATCAAGACGTACATTTTTTAAAGAATATTTTTTCAACGCCTATTAAAGAATTTTCTTTTCAAGGCATATGAAGGTGCGGATTTTTAAAAATAAATATTAAAAAAGTCGTGGTTTTTAAAGAAGAGTTTATCAAGGACCTTCAGACCAAAAAGTGTGGTGTTTTAAGGAAGAATTTATCAAGGATCTGCAGACCAAAATACGTGGATTTTTAAAGAAGAATGCATCAAGGACCTGCAGACCAAAGAGCGTGGTTTTTAAAGAAGAATTTATGAAGGGCCTGCAGACCAAAAGGCGTGGTTTTTAATGAAGAATTTATCAAGGAACAGCAGACCAAAAGGCGTGATTTTTAAAGAAGAATTTATCAAAGACCTGCAGACCAAAAGGCGTGGTTTTTTAAGAAGAATTTATGAAGGACCTTCAGACCAAATGGTGTGGTGTTTTAAGGAAGAATTTATCAAGGACCTGCAGACCAAAAGGCGTGATTTTTAAAGACGAATTTATCAAGAGCCTGCAGACCAAAAGGCGTGATTTTTAAAGACGAATTTATCAAGAGCCTGCAGACCAAAAGGCGTGGTTTTTAATGAAGAATTTATCAAAGTCCTGCAGACCAAAAGGCCAGGTTTTTAATGAAGAATTTATCAAGGACTTGAAGACCAAAAGGCATGGGTTTTAATGAAGAATTTATCAAATGAATTTACCAAAATGACAGGTTTTTAATTAAGAATTTATCTAGGTCCTGCAGGCCAAAGGGCGAGATTTTTATGAAGAATTTATAAAGAATTTGCCAAAAGGCGTGGTTTTTAATGAAGAATTTATCAAGGACCTGCAGACCAAAAGGTGTGATTTTTAAAGAAGAATTTATCAAGAGCCTGCTGACCAAAAGGCGTGGTTTTTTAATAAATAATTTATCAAGAACCTGCAAACCGAAAGGCGTGTTTTTTGAAAGAAGAATTTATCAAGGACCTGGAGACCAAAAGGCATGGGTTTTAATGAAGAATTTATCAAAGCCCTGCAGACCAAAAGGCCTGGTTTTTAATGAAGAATTTATCAAGGACCTGAAGACCAAAAGGCATGGGTTTTAATGAAGAATTTATCAAAGTCCTGCAGACCAAAATGACAGGTTTTTAATGACGAATTATCTAGGTCCTGCAGACCGAAAGGCGAATTTGCCAAAAGGCGTTGTTTTTAATGAAGAATTTATAAAGTACCTGCAGACCAAAAGGTGTGGTGTTTTAAAGGAGAATTTATCAAGGTCCTGCAGACCAAAAGGTGTGATTTTTTAAAGAAGAATGTATCAAGGAACTGCAGACCAAATGTCGTGTATTTTTTAAGATTTTCTCTAGAATCTGTAGACCAAAAGGAGTGAATTAAAAAAAAGATATTCCCAAGAACCTGCAGACCACAAGGCGTGTATCTTTTGAGAAGAATTTCCCAAGGACCTGCATACCAAAAAGTGTGCATTTTTAAATAAGATTTTCTGAAGGACTATCAGACCGAAAGTTGTCTCCTCCTCTCCAACTCACCTTTTTACGAAATATACCCTTCGAATGTAAATTCAAATTATCAGCTGCAAACTTTTCAATATCACATTCCTTCATGCATGCCAGTGTTGTCAGACCGCCAACACCGACACCGCCGCCGCCCATACCCGGTGGTGGACGTTCGGTTGGTGGAAATATTTGTTGAATTGTGGGTTTTAGATTTGGTGGTGGCAGTGGGCGACGCATCATACTACCTCCAATGCTGCCGACGCCGCCGCCCATTATATTCGATACACTATCACCACCATCGCGACCATATTGATGTGGCGGTGGCATTGGTAAACGGCCACCAATGCCAGTGCCACTATCTTGAGAATTTTGAGCAATGCGAGATATTTGACGGTTGGGTGAGGGTAATGTTTGTGATTGTTTTGATTTTTCCCCGGTGTCCAATTGCAGATGATGATGAGAGGCTGACGAGGAAGGATGACCGGGTGGTAGGGGTGGAGCATTTGAATAGAGTTGTTGTGGTGGTGTTGGTTGTGCTATTGTTGTTGTTGTAGTTGATGAGTGGTGTTGCTGTTGTTGTTGTTGATGATTGAGGGTAGATGGTGTATGTGTGGTGGCGGTATCATAATATGAGAATTGATAACGTGGTTTAGTTTTTGGTTCATTATTACCACCGGAACCCACACCTTCCAGTACTGCCTCAACATTGTCGGATCTGAAAGAATTGAACATAAATTAATTTGTGACTATTTGGGGTCTATGGTTCCACTCACATTTCCTCTCTAGCTGCTGGATCATATGGAGGATATTGATAAGCATAATATGATACACTATCGCCCATATTAGCATAGTCTTCAATCATACCATAATTGTGCTCCAAATAACCACCATGTGTATCCGAACCGCCATCGGAATCTTCATTGTCTGGCTCGTGGCCGGACAATGATTGTTCCGATTGACTGTCCGAATGATAGGAATCCGAATCAATGGGATCGCCAAACACATAACGTCCCGATAATTTGGCCTGTTCGAGAATGTAATGTTTTAAAGGCAGTAAATGTTCCTGCATTTCCTATTTGGGGGGAAGGGAAGATTGAATTTTTTAAAAAGGCTTCCTTAGATGGGGGTATAAGTTGACCTACCGTATCCCAGTTACTATACAGCGGCGAAATGTTACCATTATCATATTCCACATCACTGTTATCGGCATGCAAGTGATTGTTTCTGTCTTTGGCTTTACGGGTATCACGTTTATTATTATCCTGATGATAATAATCATTCGAATGTCTTGAGTGTTTGTCCTGTAAAAATAAATAATAAAAATTATGTTAGAAGGGGTGAGTTGAGGGGGACATGCAGATAAAAAGGCTTTGCTTTTTTAAAAGATTTCTTCAAGGATACGAAGCCTAAAATACGCGATTTGTTAGGATTTTCTCAGGGACCTGCAGATCAAAAAGGTCGATTTTTAAAGAAGAATTTATCAAGGACCTGTAGACCAAAATGCGTGGGTTTTTAACAAGATTTTCTCAAGGACATGTAGTTCAAAAGGCGTGGATTTTTTAACAAGTTTTTTCAAGGACATGTAGAGGAAAGGCGTGGATTTTTTTAAAAAGGTTTTTTCAAGGACCTGTAGACCAAAAGTTGTGGTTGTTTAAACAAGATTTTCAAAAGGACCCATAGACCAAAAGGCGTGGATTTTTAAAGAAGATTTTCACAAGGACCCATAGACCAAAAGGCGTGGATTTTTAAAGAAGATTTTCACAAGGACCCATAGACCAAAAGGCGTGGATTTTTAAAGAAGATTTTCACAAGGACCCATAGACCAAAAGGCGTGGATTTTTTAACAAGATTTTTTCAAGGACCTGTAGACCATAAGTCGTGGTTTTTTAAAGAAGATTTTCACAAGGACCCATAGACCAAAAAGCGTGGATTTTTAAAGAAGATTTTCACAAGGACCCATAGACCAAAAAGCGTGGATTTTTAAAGAAGATTTTCACAAGGACCCATAGACCAAAGAAGATTTTCACAAGGACCCATAGACCAAAGAAGATTTTCACAAGGACCTGCAGATCAAAGTCGTGATTTTTAAGAGGATATTCTAAAGATCCTGCAGATCAAAAGCGTGATTTTTGAAGAATTTCTAAAGGACCAATGGACCAAGTAGTGGAAATTTCTAAATAGAATTTCTAAAGGACATATAGAATAAAAATTGGATGTACACAATTGCGTAAATTTTTAAGACTTTTTTCGAGTCTGAAAGACCAAGATGCTAGGATTTTTACGACGAGAACCTGGTGAGAACCCTGTTATAGTTTAACATCTTAAAATAATTACCAAACTCATCGAGTTATGACGATTAGCACGATGATTATCCTGATGCTGAGACCATGATCCAGTATTCGACGAAGTTTTATGTTTACCCCTTGAGTCGTTGGAACCCCGCGACGAATGGGTCATCATACCAATATTATCGGATGAGGGGAAATTTTTAGATGTCATATTATTCGACGAAACATGCCCGGTAATATCACTTAAATGTGGTGAAGTAGTTTTATTCGAACCAACGCCGCCACCATCTCGCAACGATAGACGATCCAAATTTAATAGTTCCAAACTACACGATGAATCCTGTTTATAATGTGCGTGACTAGATGATGAAGGTGGCGGTCCCGAACATGTTGAATGGCCACCGGGTGAGTGAAGCATCGGAGCTGTTGTCGCCGTCATACCGCGATGATCCGTTACCTTTAGCGGTTTATTTATTTTATTGCTATGAGGACTAATGGGACTTTGGGGCGATGAATCACTAGAATGTTTCATATTGCTACCAGCACTACCGCCAGTGCCATGACCACTGCTGGCACTGGCCGCACCACTGGAACTTTTGGTGGTAGTAGTGTGGCGACGGCGTGAGAGTGGCGTATTTTCCACAGATTTGAAATATTTTTCATGCATGGAATCATCACTGGCCGCTCCTCCATTGCCTCCATTACCACCACCACCAGCATTTGGTCCAGCAACAACTGGTGATACACCCACCAAGTGCGGGGTGGTGCCATTAGCCTCGGCGGCCGAACGGCGATATGATTTACTGTGATGACCAGCAGCCGAAGGGTTGATGGATGATGACATAAAGCTACCGGATCTGGCCAAGGCAACCTTGTAGTCTCGTTCGCGTTCTGTAAGAAGAAAATAATAAACATTAGATTGCGAATTTTCTGGGAATTGTATTTATTTTCTTGGAACTTACCACTTCCACCATATTCCATGGCCCTGGTTGAGGATGATTTACTGGTTATACTACCCGTAGTACTGCCACCACCGCCACGTTGTTGCGAATTAAATGACAGTGGCGATGAGGGATACGGCTGCTGTTGTTGCTGTAAATGATGATGAGCATCCGGTGAGATTTTCTTTTTATTTTGTGCCGTTGTTGGTGAACTCATTTCATTTGATCGACTGCTGTGGTATTGTTGCTGCCGTTGCTGAGCACTGCTGCCACCGATATGGGGTAGATTATGCGAGCTCATGCTCTCTTGCAACATATCAAAACTAGGTGGAACAGAACAAAAAAAAAAAAAAATTGAAATAAAAAAGGGGAATTAAAATTGTTTAAATTTTTTATTGTTGTTGTTATGCTTACCTTCCACTACCCTCTTTGCGGCTACGATGTTTCTGCAGAGATCCAATGCGTAGACTTTCACTTGGACTAGCCATACCTGCTGGACTACCGCCACCACCTCCAGTCATTTGATCATCATTGAAACGTCGATAGCCATGTATGCTGGAGAGACTAGAATCGCTGGATTTACCAGATTCTTTGAAATGGTTATAGGAGTCTGGAAGGAAAATTAGGACAAAAATTAGCGAAGATACAAAATCAGGGATTTTGTAATATTTTTTTCAAGGCCTGAAATAGGTCTGGATTTATAAAGAATATTTTCTCAAGGCCTAGAATAGGCGTGGATTTATTAAATAATATTTTCTCAAGGCCTAGAATAGGCGTGGATTTATTAAATAATATTTTCTCAAGGCCTAGAATAGGCGTGGATTTATTAAATAATATTTTTTCAAGGCCTAGAATAGGCGTGGATTTATTAAATAATATTTTCTCAAGGCCTAGAATAGGCGTGGATTTATTAAATAATATTTTCTCAAGGCCTAGAATAGGCGTGGATTTATTAAATAATATTTTCTCAAGGCCTAGAATAGGCGTGGATTTATTAAAGAATATTTTTCAAGGCCTAGAATAGGCGTGGATTTATTAAAGAATATTTTTCAAGGCCTAGAATAGGCGTGGATTTATTAAAGAATATTTTTCAAGGCCTAGAATAGGCGTGGATTTATTAAATAATATTTTTCAAGGGCCAACTGAGGCGTGGATTTATTAAATAATATTTTCTCAAGGCCTAGAATAGGCTTGGATTTATTAAATAATATTTTCTCAAGGCCTAGAATAGGCGTGGATTTATTAAAGAATATTTTCTCAAGGCCTAGAATAGGCTTGGATTTATTAAATAATATTTTCTCAAGGCCTAGAATAGGCTTGGATTTATTAAATAATATTTTCTCAAGGTCTAGAATAGGCGTGGATTTATTAAAGAATATTTTTTCAAGGTCTAGAATAGGCGTGGATTTATTAAAGAATATTTTTTCAAGGTCTAGCATAGGCGTGGATTTAAAGAATAGTTTTTCAAGGTCTAGCATAGGCGTGGATTTAAAGAATAGTTTTTCAAGGTCTAGCATAAACGTGAAATAAAGAATAGTTTTTCAAGGTCTAGCATAAACGTGAAATAAAGAATAGTTTTTCAAGGTCTAGCATAAACGTGAAATAAAGAATATTTTTATAGGTTCGAATAGAATTTTTTTTTCACCATTCCGCATGTAAATACCAATTTATTGACAGTTCGAATATAACATATCAATGTGCGAATCTAATTTCCGAAATATTTATCGTTAGAGGAAATGGAATATTTTGCAGTGCACCGCTTGGTATGTGATTTCATTGGCAGAATAAGAATAAATATCGGAAGAGCCGGCACACCAAAAAAAATTAAAATTTTCATTCAAATATCATGTTTTGATATTTCGTATAGAGCTACATGTATTCCACAAATATAAAAAATTAACATGAGCAAACAGAAATAAATTCGCACAATCACATCATACATACATACATACATACTCGTACGTACATACATATGAATCTGGAAGATGCCAATACAATACATACCTTGTGATCGTCTTGATGATGTCGAAGAAATGTGCTGCATATCCATGGAACGTGATGAATCACCCGTACCAACGCTGAAAGATGAAAGAAAGAATACGAATGAATAAAAAATAAAATAAATTAAGCGGCAACAACAACTACAATGAGTAAAAGTTAAGATGAACAAGAAAAAAATATGAAAACACTAAAACAATTAATAATAGACAAATGAAAATTGAAAAGATATCGAAACGAAGCAATTTGCAAAAAACAAATAACAACTTTTTAATGAAAGACAAATGAAATGAAAAAAATAGTGATACTGCTGGTGGTGGGGTATTGATGAAATGTATAAACAATAAAAAAATGTTCTATTAATGGATAATCTTTTAAATATGGGTATTTGCACACGTCAACTATATAAAGACCATTAACTAAATATACATACTTATGTATTTAATTGATTTTGAACAAAGTAGCAAATCCAAAAGGCGTGGATTTTTTCAAAAAAATTTTTATAATGACTGGATTTTTTAAAAAATATTTTTTTAAGGATTCATCAGTCGTGGATTTTTTCAAAAACTTTATTACAAGGATCCATAGGGACTCGACTTTTTAAATAATATTTTTTCAAGGTTCCACACGGTGTGGTTTTAAATTTTTTCAACGATCCATACGGCTTGAATTTTTATACCCTACACAACTATGTTGTCAGGGTATTATAGCTTTGTGCAGCCTCAAGAGTTTGTAACGCCGCGAAATATCGTCATATCTCGGCTAACTGTGTCCATCTAGCCATGTGTGTCCGTCCGTCCGTCCGTCTGTCCATTATAATTTGTAAACACGATACAGGCCACAGTTGCATGTAAGAAGGTGAAGACCCCTATTGTTTTTGGTAAACGCCGGTTGATATTTAGAGGATGAAATGGACCAAATTCTTAATTATTGTCGGTTTTTCTGGTCGCTCCAGAGGCCGCAGTTATGGTCCGAACATCGTAAAATGGAGAAGGGGATCAGCCCAAAGAATAAGCATACCTGTTTTTATAAAGATCGGTCAATATTTAACGGGTCAAATGGACCCTGACTTTTGTGTGAAAAATTACAAAATTTTTATTCTGGGGCGTATATACTTGCTCATGAAGAACATATACCCGAGAAGTTGATAGTATATCCAAGAGGAGTTGTTTGATTGATTAAAATTGATGCCAATTATATGGCTGTATGTACTCTGATGTGGGAGTTGTACATAATTAGGTAAAGGTGACTATGTGCATAGCATTACTATTACTCCATTAGAGCACGGAAATGTCGCGCTGATCGTTTTGAAATTGTACATGAAGTTCTGATTATGGTCAAGGGCGACGCCTATAGTTTTCGGTGAAGTTGAGATTTCATGCAATGAACCGAAAAGTTTAATTTTGTCAGATTTTCTAGACGCTCTAGAGGCAATTATTATATGCAGAACATCATATATTTTACAAGGTGAAGGGTATCTGACCAAATACTTAGAGCGGCTGTTTAGATGATGATCGGTCAATTCCGAGGGTCAAATCAACCAAAACCTAAAGTGACCATTTTTTTTATTTTATGGCGTAAAAATTCACGTCAAGAAAAAAATTTTGGAAAATATGCCAGGGTTGATCAATATCACAAAATATTGCCCAGGCTCAGAATATAGAACCGCAAAATTTTGCTTTTCGTGGTAGTTGTGTAGGGTATCATATGGTCGGCCCCGTCCGACTATACTGCTTCGCTCACTGGTTTAAAAATACTTTTGTCAATGATCTGTTAGGCGTGGATTTATTAACAAATATTATTGTCAAGAAGTTCATAAAGCTACCAGAGGCGTGGATTTTTTAAAGATTTTTTTTCTAGGCTACCACCAGAGGCGTGGATTTTTAAACCATATTTTTTTTCTAGGCTACCACCAGAGGCGTGGATTTTTTAAAGAATATTTTTTCTAGGCTACCATCAGAGGCGTGGATTTTTTAAAGAATATTTTTTGTAGGCCTATAATTTTTGGATTTTTTATAGAATATTTTTCAAGGCCTAAAATAGGCGTGGATTTAATAGAGAATATTTTTCAAGGCCTAAAATAGGCGTGGATTTAATAGAGAATATTTTTCAAGGCCTAAAATAGGCGTGGATTTAATAGAGAATATTTTTCAAGGCCTAAAATAGGCGTGGATTTAATAGAGAATATTTTTCAAGGCCTAAAATAGGCGTGGATTTAATATAGAATATTTTTCAAGGCCTAAAATAGGCGTGGATTTAATAGAGAATATTTTGCAAGGCCTAAAATAGGCGTGGATTTAATAGATGGAAAATATTTTTCAAGGCCTAAAATAGGCGTGAATTTAATAGAGAATATTTTTCAAGGCCTAAAATAGCCGTGGATTTAATAGAGAATATTTTTCAAGGCCTAAAATAGGCGTGGATTTAATAGAGAGATCATGGATTATTTTTTTAAAAGTATTTCTCAAGGTCCTAAGGAACTTGAATTTCGAACGAATAATTTATCATAGCATGAAAAAGTTTGGAAGTTTCAAGACTTCAAAGATCTATTATCGTGATTTAAATAAAATATATTTTTAATTGACCATAAATCTGTATATATTATACCCAAATTGACCCTATTAGCGGTAATCATGAAACTACTTATCGTCTATTGACCTGTTAACCCACATGTAAATAATTGAATATTCATTTTTTTTAAATTCCCATACTTCTATTCATTCCCATGAAACCAAAGATGATAAGATACTTATTTTTTGTTCAGTAACATTTGACACCCACTGTTCCTGCAGTATAACATCAATTTAAAATATTTCAAACATAAACAAACCACAAAACCAAAAGATACTTGAAACAAAAAAAGCAACAACAACAAAAGTAATGAACAAACATAAATGTGAATAATAAATGACGGACTCTGGACAACCACAAAAAACTGGTGGTTTCTAATGGTCATACACAAATGCTTGTTGCTGCTTTTTGAGGTCTACACGAATACTTACCGAAAACTTTGACGCCCACGTGGACTTGAGAGTAATTCACTGGAAAGTTTCTCCTCCGAGCTGGCATGCAATGGCAGACCGGCACTGCTACGCTTATTTGTGCCCCCGCCATCACCGCCACCAACATCACGATTACTCCCCGTACTACCCATGGTATTCGTGTTACTGTTGGGCGTCAGATGGTGACTACTGCTGCTCGAGCCACGCTGAGATGCTGAACGAACTTTGGGCATGGAGGGTGATGAATGTTGCGAAGAAATCGACTGCTGCTGCTGATGATGCATTTGTTGCTGCTCTCGTTCTCGCTCTCGTTCCCTCTCCCGTTGCTGCGTTTGTGTACTAATCTCACGCCGATCGCTGGGATCGGTATTCTGTTTGAGCGTTTGCAATTTGGCCAGCGGTATGATGTCACATTTGCTCGGCCGATGCCAGACCGTTTTCTGTGAGGCAGCATTATAGTAATAGAACCGTTGCGTATTTGTATCAAATAGTTCCCACCACTGTGATGAATCGGTGCGCTTAATTGGTACATCCTGAGGCACAAAATTCATAAAATTGCGTGTGCAAAGCGACGTGATGAGACATGAAAAGAGAAAGAGAGAAGGGGGGAGGTTTGTGGTTAGAAAACAAAGAACAAAAAAAAAACAAAACAATAAAATATTTGAATTAAAAATAGAGCAATGATTAAAATGATCCGCCAACTAGCAAAGTGACTAGTTTGCTTGTCGAAACATTTGTATGTACTACATGAATAATGGAGGGACAGACAGGCCGGCCAGCAGGCAGACAGACATCGTGCCAGTCATCCCTCATTGAGGTTGAATGAACAACAAATTGAAATGAAGACCATAGTCATCATCATCCTCCATGTCACGATTATTGAGATCATTTATTAAATGGCAAAAAAATCGGAAATACTAGGGGTTCCTAGAATAGGCGGGGATTTATTAAAGAATATTTTTCAAGGCCTAAAATAGGCGTGGATTTATTAAAAAATATTTTTTCAAGGCCTAAAATTGGAGTGGATTTGTAAAAGAATATTTTCAAGGCCCAAAACAGGCGTAGATTTATAAAAGAATATTTTTAAAGGCCTAAAATAGGCGTGGATTTATAAAAGAATATTTTTCAAGGGCCAAATGAGGCGTGGATTTAATAAAGAATATTTTCAAGCCCTAAAATAGGCGTGGATTTAATAAAGAATATTTTTCAAGGCCTAAAAAGGCTTGGATTTAATAAAGAATATTTTTCAAGGCCTAAAAAGGCTTGGATTTTTTAGGAATATTTTTTCAAGGCCTAAAAAGGCTTGGATTTTTTAGGAATATTTTTTCAAGGCATAAAATATTTTTCACGCCCTGCAGAGCCTCAATTTTTAAAGAATATTTTTCAAAGCATAAAATATTTTTCAAGACCCTGCAGAGTCTCAATTTTTTAAAGAATATTTTTTCAAAGCACTGCAGAGCCTCATTTTTTTAAAGAATATTTTTCAAGGCATAAAATATTTTTCAAGACCCTGCAGAGCCTCAATTTTTTAAAGAATATTTTTTCAAGGCATAAAATATTTTTCAAGACCCTGCAGAGCCTCAATTTTTTAAAGAATATTTTTTCAAGGCATAAAATATTTTTCAAGACCCTGCAGAGCCTCAATTTTTTTAAGAATATTTTTTCAAGGCATAAAATATTTTTCAAGACCCTGCAGAGCCTCAATTTGTTAAAGAATATTTTTTCAAGGCATAAAATATTCTTCAAGACCCTGCAGAGCCTCAAGTTTTTAAAGAATATTTCAATATTTTCAAATATTTCAATATTTTATACCCTTCACCACACTGTGGTACAGGGTATTATGTCTTTGTGCATATGTTTGTAACAGGCAAAAATAATCGAGATAGACCCATGGTTCCTTTTGAGAATATGCATAGAATCACTTTCTGAGTCGATTTATGCATGTCCGCCCGTACATCTGTCCATCTTAAATTGTAAACAAAGTACAGTTCGCATTTTTTATTCGAATTGGATGAAATTTGGCACAGCTCATTTGTTTGTCCCAAGGACGAACGCTATTGAAATTGGGAAAAATCGGTTCATATTTAAATGTAGCTCCCATATATATTTTCGTCCGATTTTAGGTAAATAGTGCACAAAAGTCCCAATATATCCTTTGATTTGCACGAAATTTGGCACATCGTACTGAATTAAGTCTAGAAATATGTGTGTTAAATTTTGTGAAAATCGCTTCAGATTTATATATAGCTGCCATATATATATATATATATATATTTTCGTCCGATTTAAGGTAAATGGTGTACCAAAGTCCCTATATATCTTTAGATTTTCACGAAATTTGGCACAGCGTAATGAATTAAGTCTAGAATGATGTCTGCCAAGTTTCGTGATAATCGGTTTAGGTTTAGATATAGCTCCCATATGTAGTTTCGCCCGATTTTAGGTAATTGGTGCACAAAAGTCCCTGGAAATCTTTTCATTTGCACGAATTTTGGCATAGCGTACTAAATTAAGTCTAGAATGATGTGTGCAAAGTTTCGCGAAAATCGGATCAGATTTAGAAATAGCGCCCATATATATTTTCGTCCGATTTAAGGTAATTGGTGCACCAAAGTCCCTGGAAATCTTTTCATTTGCACGAATTTTGGCATAGCGTACTGAATTGCGGCTATAATAATGTGTGCAAAGTTTCGTGAAAATCGGTTCAGATTTAGATATAGCTTCCATATATATTTTCACCCGATTTTAGGTAATTGGTGCACCAAAGTCTCTGAAAATCATTCGATTTGCACGAAATTTGTCATAGCGTACTGAATTAAGGCTAGAATGGCGTGTGCTAAGTTTCATGAAAATCGGCTCAGATTTAGATATAGCTCCCATATATATTTTCATCTGATTTTATGTAATTGGTGCACAATATATCTTTCGATTTGCACGAATTTTGGTATAGGGTACTGAATTAAGTCTAGAATGATGTTGCTAAGCTTCGTGAAAAGATCCATAGCTAGGCCGATTGACACAACGTACTGATGTAATATAAATTAGTCTCTGGCAAGTTTCCCTGAAATCGCTTCAGATATAGATATATAACAAAAAAGGCGACATCTTCTCGGATACATATGTAGAATATACCCAAAGTGGTGAAGGGTATCATATTGTCGGCCCAGTCCGACTTTTCTACTTTCCCACTGGTTTTTTTTAAATTTGATTTTGCATCCTCAAAAATTTTATCTATCCAAACTTTAAGACTTAATTTTCTCTTGGATCTTTTGTTGCGATTAACAAACAACAAAAATAGGTTGAAAAGGTTAGTGGTTAGTGCTAACCAAACAAACTAACCTACCTACCTACTTACCAACCGAACCAACGTCATTAACATTATACGAATATGTTGCACGGATTTTCGTTTCGTGGTAACATTTCTATCGTTAATGTATATTTGTTTTATGTATTGGTGAATAAACATGTATATGTATATGTGTGTTTGCTCGTGTGTTGTAAATGCATTTGTATGTTAAGAGTTCAAGGTTAACAGCGGCAGCAGCAGCGCCAGCAACTCATACAAAATTATTTCTACTTACATAGTTTTTCAGGGTTATACAGGGACGTTGGGGCCAAGGCCTACATACATTTTCTGAATATAAAGCCTTGGAAAGTTTTTGAAACATATTATTTAAAACATTAAAGGGCGGGATTTTTTTGAATAAATAAATTTACATAAATATAGACTATTTTGAAAACAGACTCTCTATATAATTATGGGGAAACAACGGGACAAAATTTGGTAGCTAATAATAACAGACAATTACCACGCAGCAAGCCATCCCCAATATCATCATAGATGTAAATTTTTTTGGAGGCCTACCTCAATCGATTTTAACCTTCCAATTTTCCGCTTTTTTCTCTTTATGGCCTTCAAACAAATGTGACAGAAAGCACCCACCCGCGCAATATCATCATCGTCACGAGAACCTTACAATAAAAAAAAACTTAAACAACAGCAACAACAATACACTTTGGTAATGTTGATGACAACAAAAAGTATGCGCAGCAGCCGAGGCAGATGCAACATCATTCATTTCGTTGAATTGCATTCCCGCATCAATAGACAGCAACCCACCCATCCAAAAACCTACCAGCCTCTCCCACTACCACCACCTCACCCTCCCAAACTAAATAAGAATGGCTTTGAAAAAACAAAAAGCGGAAACTTAAACATAGCCATTATTATGGGATTTTCGAGATTATGTTGTTGTTGCTGCTGCTTGTTCTTGTCATTGCTACCATGTATTTGAGTTGTTATAGTTGTTTGTAAATTTCCTCTTTTGTTTATAGAAAAACAGCATGGAATATTGTACTTGAATTGAAAACTAAAAAAATATATATGGAACTATCTAATATCAATCAATAACATTGTACCACGAACTAACAATAGGAGGGTTAGGTAGATCTCATATTTTTTCAATGGGAAAGAATAATCCACGCCTTCAATGAGCCTTGAAAAAATAATTTTTAAAAATCCACACCTTCAATGGGCCTTGAGAAAATAATTTTTAAAAATCCACGCCTTCAATGGGCCTTGAAAAAATATTTTTTAAAAATCCACGCCTTCAATGGGCCGTGAAAAAATAATATTTAAAAATCCACACCATCAATGGGCCGTGAAAAAATATTTTTTAAAAATCCACGCCTTCAATGGGCCTCGAAAAAAACATTTTTAAAAAATTCAAACCATGAAAAAAATAATTTAAAACCAGTAAGGAAAGTAGTAAAGTCGGACGGGGCCGACTATATGATACCCTTTACCACTTTGGCTATATTCAAGAAATACATCCTTGCAGACCTTGAATTTTTGAAGGACCATTGACATGAAATTCGACTTAGTTAAATACGTGATCTGTCTATGACGATTTATGCAGGTCCGTCTTTCTGTTGTAATCACTCTAGCGTCTAAAAGAATTGAGATAGATCGCCAAAATTTTGCATAAAGTTGTCTCTTGTCTGCAGGTCCGAAGATAAGCTTTATCGGTCCACGTACCAAATATCTCCACTAAAATTCCACTATTAATATCGGTCCACTTTTTCGGGTAGCCCCCATATAACGGTTAACCCAGCCCCTTTTCGATACGTTGCGCGTAATATTGTGCCAATCGAACACACTTTAAATCTTTGGTGCACTATTTGCAAAAAATCGGACGAACATATATATGGGAATCTGAACCGATTTCAATAAAACTTGGCACACGTTAGTCTATCCTAAATTCAGTACTTTGTGCAAAATTTGGTGCCAATCGACCTAAATTTTAATATTTGGTGCACCATTTGCGAAAAATCGGACGAACATATATATGGGAGCTATATCTAAATCTGAATCCCAATTTTAATAGGGTTCGTCCCTGGGATAATAAATGCGACCTGCACTTTGTTATTCTTTAAAAAATCCACGCCTCCACGGCCTTGAAAAAATATTCTTTAAAAAGTCCACGCCTATTCTAGGCCTTGAAAAAATATTCATTAAAAAGTCCACGCCTATTCTAGGCCTTGAAAAAAT